AAATTTGATTATGATTACGGCATCCCTCTTCATAGTCAAAATAATGACAACTTGGCAAATAGAAATGTTATGGAAATGTTAATTGCGTTCTCAAATTTGATTATGATTACGCATCCCTCTTCATAGTCAAAATAATGAGAACTTGGAAAATAGAAATGTTATAGAAAAAGACTGATCAAATATCATGTCTTTATGTTAGGCATTATGAATCGTGTCCCATATGCTTCGGGTATAGGATCGATTCATATGCTATAATTTTCTCGTGTTCTAATTTTCCAAATGCCTAGGGCATTAAGAGGGAAAAAGGAATAGAACCGAATATGACTAAAGTGGTTAAACAACTGTTAAGGACAATCTAAGGTTCGCCAAAAGATTGGTCGCTTAAGGACAGTTGGGAAGTATAGTAATGGATGAACCATATTGACATTATTATGAATAGACAGGAGTCTATTCACTACAAGAAAAATACCCTTTAATGACGCGCAAACAATGACACTCGCTGATTTATGATACGCATTTTTGTGTGCCCTTAAAAATAATGTCAGCCTTCCAAAATTTGAAACATAGAGGACACGTATGTTTGGGTGCCCTTAAATTAGTGTCTCAAGAAAAAAAATTAAAAACATGGAGGGCGCTTTATCTTAAACGCGCGTCCTCTGTAGGAGTCGCTTTATAATTTTAGTGAAACGCGCCTTGAGTAGATAACGGGGGAAAACGAAACCCTAAAATTTTGAAAACATTCTCACTTCTCCTTGGCCTCTGCAACAATCGTCGATCTCAGTACCCCACCTCGTTTCGCCTTGCCGTAGCTTTGTCGGGAATGTTAAAGAGAAAGAGAAAGAGAGATCACCGGAGTTTTGCTTGAAAGGTGAATGTGGATGAAATAGGCTAGGGTTCTTTTGTAATTTTCTTTTCTGTTTCCATCATCCCCGCAAAATACAACCCTACGGAATTGATGCTTCCCACTCGTCTTTTCCGTCTTCTCACTTGTGTATGTAATATCTTCTCTTCTCTTCTGTGTATTTTTGCTCTTAATTACTCCTTTGATTTCCTTCAGTCACCATTGAAATCATCACATGTAAGCTAGGGTTTTGTTAAGAACCACATGACGACCGCTCTGTTATCGGCGACCTCGACTCACTCACCTTTCAGGCCGGCAACATCAGCCTCAACCTCACCCTATTTTCTTACCTAGTAACTTCATTTGTTGGAATACAAATTGTCTATCTATGAAGCCCTAGGTCTGATTCTTCTCCCTATTCCCCAAACCGCGCTCCTCCTCAGTCCTCACACAGTACACCATGAACCCTAGACCCATCGTCAAGCATTCTCACTTCCTTATATATGGGTAATACTTCTTATCAGGTGGTTTCCTCTAAAGTGCCAAAGAATGTATCAGTTTCTCCTACATCTTTGCTGTTCCTGGACAGCTGCCACATCAAGTTGCTTGGAGATGTGGGGTTCCAGGTTCAGTTTATGCCAATGGGTTCGTTTTTCATATTTGTAGTGCTTCAGGTAAACATCAGTTTCTATTCATGTTTCTTATCCATTAATTCATAAATATTTTGTCATGTTATGTTTATCCAGAGTATTGAACAAGGTATATCCTCTGCCTCTAAAGAAAATGTTGGTCAACATGATGAAACCTAGATTCAGGATTTCACAGGTACAAATCGTTGACTTTTCATCTCCAGAGGCAATATTCAAAAAAAAATTTATATATGAAATATACATGTTGATATAGTATACATATGTGTGAGTATGATTGTATGTATGTATGTTTATACAGGGCAGTGCAAGACAATTATTTCAACGGTTGCAGGGACCAATGGAAGAGGATACACTGAAATCTCATTTTGAGAAAATTATTATGATTGGACATAAACAACATTACAGAAGGACACAAGTAGTCTCTCAACAACTTTCTAACTTATTTTATGCTATGCAATTATTATTAGTATGAATGATTCTACTGTACTCATATAATCATTTTTCTGCAAAGAATGATAATCAGGATCCAAAACAGTTGCAGCAGCCTCATACTTCTCATGCATTTGCTCTTTCTCAAGTCCGAATGGGTTACCGGTTCTGAATCACAATACTTGTTGGTATTTAAGGTCCGAGTGGGTTACCGGTTCTGAATCACAGTACTGGACCACCTATTCTTCCTGGATCTTGTCCTGGTCCCGCTCCTTCAGCTCCTGGTTCTTCTAATTTCATTCATGGAACTAATCTTCCCTCTGCTTCTTCCCTTGTTGGTAAAGCTCTGATCTAACCTTCACAAGGTAGATCAGCCAAAATTGTTAACAATAACTCTTTTAAAGTCAAATTCTTTACTATTACGGTCTTCAAGTGTTTCTTGTAATATGAAATGTCTTTTTTTTTACTTTTATTTGAATCAGCATGGCAAGATGTCATGCAGAGCATCAAATGAACCTGGTTGCAGGTTTGTTTTTTCTAGCAAGAAGGGTAAAATGGTCATTTTAGCTTCTTCATAGTTAGATCATTCATTCAAGTACAAGAGGTAAATTTTAACTTTTGAATGCCAAACTTGCTGCTTAATATAAACTCACAGATATACTTTTATTACCAGTTGCAACATAGTTTTTTCTCAGATTTGTTGTAAATGACATATTATATTTGTATATATGTTTAGAGCTACCTTTTCTGTGAAGATTTCTCTTTCACTAAATTACAAGTTTATCTTACTTATAATCTTGTTAGTTTTCACTTTCCCATAATGTATGCTAAAATATTAGTTTGGTTTTTGCATCTATGTGAATGGGGCTTGACTTGATTTGAGTTTTTAACTTTTTGTTTACTTGCAGCTTCATACCAAAATACTAGTTAGGGATCACAGGATGAGGAGGATCCAAATAATCCTGAAATCTTCAGATATGGCTAGGTACAGAGGAGATGAAGCATGCGATGAACATAAGAAGAGTTGATTGGATCATGGTTGGGTTGAAGCCATGAACATAAGAAGAAGAGTTTACGGAAAGAATCAAAGGAGGGTATACCGAAAATATAGAAAAACACTTTTACTTTTAATATATTAATTTAAAGAAAGAAAATTCTTATATTTGGTTTTCGGTTGTGGTTGGTGTGGATGCTTCAGAAGCAGAGGAGTTTGCTGAGGTGGCAACGAAACCTCTAAAAGCCTTGCCATACGATACACCTGGTCAAACATTTATTGCATTCGAGAAACCAGAAGGCATTCCAGCTGTCGGCAGATTTTCCAATGTCTTGAAATTCTTCGTAAATAGGTAATAATTCTTTTATTTGTTTATTTATTTTTAAGAAACAAACAACTCAATCAATGTTTTATTTGCAGGTTGATCTATCGACTGGTGAGGTGGAGGAAGATTGCACCAAGCAATATTTTTCCTCTGTTTTTTCTTGTTTTCGTTGTTCTAGTCCTTCTTTTCTTCTCCCCTAGTTCTTCTGTTTTTCCTTGGTGAAAAAGGTTCAGGTACAACTGTGAATATCACTGATTACATATTCAACAGAAGTACTGCTATTACAATTGAGAAACTTTTTACAGATACTGAAAAGAGTCATAAAATCTTGAAACTCCTTATAAAGTCGTTATTGAAGAATAGCTGTTAATAATCGAGGGTAAACTTCATCACCTCTAGTACATACAGTAGCAGGTAGGTGTGGGCTTCTTTCTTTTTAATTTTGTTGGTCTTTGTAAAAATACCAATTTCATTCTAGTTAAATAGCATATGTGTTACTTTTTCAACATTTTTGTAGTTTATATGAATCTGTTGTAGGGTTGGGAAGATGTCTCTGATGAACCAATAAATTCTAATTACCAATCTCCTTATTTTCCAGCATGTTCTGGACTCTGATTTCGTTTCAGATTGAATAATTTTGATAGGAATGTGCATTGTGAGTTTAGCAATCAGTACAAGACAACCATTGGAGCTGATTTCCTAACAAAAGAGGTTCAGTTTGAAAATAAGCTCTTCACAATGCAGGTGAGATGAAGCTTCAAATACAATTACATTTGTTATTACTGTTGGAATATAATCTAGACTTAAGGGTATTTTGGTAATTATGTTAGAATTTTTGGAAATTATATCACTATTTAATAAGTTAGCGATTAAAAAGGGTATTTTGGTAATTATGTTAGAATGAGATCACTACACAACAACCTATAAAAAGGGCAAACAAGTCAAAAAACCAAAATAGTAACTTGGATTCGAATCTTACAAACATTGAAAGTATGATATTTGTAGTTCTCAAATTGTTTTGTGTGTAAATGTTTTGATTTTTGTGTAAATGTAGCAGGGGACAAAGTCCTACTGAAGGTGGGATAGGGGTGAGGAGGTCGGGCAGGGGCAGGGGCAACAACAACAATAACAACTGTGGTAGCTGTTATTTTCCTGTTCAATCAAGATGGATCAAGGAAAAGTCTTGTCCTGCTCATATTCTTTGCCTTACTCATCTATCTGTAAGTTATCTTAATATTTCTATTTCTCCTTTCAATCAAGACATTATTGCCCCCCACTATCTCTATTCTCTACTTAAGAAGCTAGCCACACTGAGAGAACCAGAATTAACCCCATTTACATTGAAAATTTTAGGCAATGTGTTGTTGCTGATTACAGAAGCACCACCAGATACATGGATCAATCATATGCTGTTGCTGCTGTTGTATCTGATTCTTTTCGTCTGCCTCTTGATTCATTCTCTACAAGACACTTCAAGGAGATGGTATGATTTTTTTTTGAAGGCTTAAATGCAATAAATGGAAGTAGAGTGAAAGTAGAATGGTATTTGGGATTGTTTAAATATTGATGTGGTTGGTGTGGTGTATCTGATTCTTCAACGTGAATGTAATTCTTATGATTCTCTCCTCCCAATCCCAAGGTCAACATTACTAATAATAATAATTGTATTTTTTTTTAATTTGAGATTTATATTTACATTTCAAAATGTTTTTGTGACTTGTGTAGAAGTGTTGGACATGATGGTAGAGGTACTGCTGTGACTTGTGTAGAAGTGTTGGAGGTAATCCTTTACCCACTTTCTTTTTATCTCCAATTTTTAACCAACTATCTTTACACTGTTATTGTAAAGTTTAATAGATATCACCAAATCATAACATTTTGTTTAAATTATAGGTCCACCTATCACCAATTTTTAACCACTTTCTTTCTATCTCCAATTTTTAACCAACTATCAATTTACACTGTTTGGCAAGTCTATAAAAACCTTTTTCCATGTGTTTCATTTTATGGAGTTTGTTTCTGATACAGGTACCTGAAGGATACGGAATTGGGTGTTTTGAGTGACATGGCTGACATTCATAAAAAACTTGCTGGAAGCCTGGAAGTTACTAATGAAGGTAATAATCTTATACTTTCATTTATTTGGTTTTGTAAATAAGAGTCACTATTGGTCAAAATTTGTTGTTTTCAATTCATAATAATTGTTATAGAAAAATCTAGTGCTAGTAATGTTGACCTTGGGATTGGAAGAAGAAGAAGAAACAAGGCTGCAACTATAGTTCAGGTACTATGGATGAATTATGTTTGTAAAGTATTTAAGAAAATGATTAGAAACAAGGGTGAATAAGCAGAAAGCAAATCTTACACTTCAATGTCTATGGAGATCAAATGTAGCAAGGAAAGAATTAAGAATGTTGAAGCACGGGAATGGATTTTCTATAAAAAATCTAAGTATTATATAATACAATTTTATCTAAATGCTTTGAATTATAAAAATAAATAGTAATTAAAAAATTATAATATGTTGTCACAGGTTGCAAGAGATGCTGGAGCCCTTAGAGAAGCTAAGGACAAAGTAGAGAAGTGAGTTGAAGAGCTAACATGGAGATTAGATTTTGAAAAGCATTTGAGGGTATATTTTTTTATATTTCTTGTATCTAATTAGTTTGTAAATTTTTATTACAACTTCTATTGATTTGTTTTATCTTTCCATGGAACGATTATTTGCATGACATTAAATTTTATGCAATGGATTGCATTTTTTTATATTATATTTTATTTTCTATTATGAGACATTAAATAAAAATTTAATTTGAAAATTAGTAAATCTATAAATAATATTTTTTTAAAACATTTAAAATTATGATACGCAAAAATGTGTGTCATCCTCATTTATGACATGGCCTTTCTTGAAAGGGGCTTTAATGATACGCAATGCGAGTCGTAAATGCGTGTCGTAAGGTTACGACACGCAAATGCGTGTCGTAAGGTTACGACATGCAAATGCGTGTCATCTTCCTTTATGACAGGGCCTTCCTTGATACGCAACGCGTGTCGTAAACGCGCGTCGTAAATGTGTTTCGTAATTGCACGTCGTAAATAGACGACACGCTCTCGTTATGACAGGGCCTTTCTTGACACGCATTTGCGCGTCGTCTGAGCGTTTTACGACATGCATTGCGCGTCGTAAAAGGCTGTTTTTCTAGTAGTGATTAATAATGAGTTATCCTATGGCAAATATGGAATATTTCCATATTGGGAGTTGAAGAATAGATGAGAAAGTTAGAAACTTTAATGCAAGAAGGATGTTCAAAGGAATGTACTTTGAATTTGAGACTTCATTTCCATGGAATTGTCTTGTAACAATCTCCAAAGGAATATTTTGTAATATCATTGGTCAAGCCTTTGTGACTTTTGGCACCTATACATTACAAAAGAATCATTGCATGATAGTTTTGAATCTAACACTTTCTAGCAGTGACAAGAATTTGGAATTCTTACACTTGCAATAAGGATTTGGAATTTTGAAATGAGCATTATTGAAATGTTTTTCAATTGATCTATTTCACAAAGTAAGGACCATAGACAAAGATAGTGTGCATGCTTGGTGCATGACATAACTATCGTTTAGACAAACATAGTGTGCATGCTTGGAGCATGTCATAACTATTGTTTTAATTCAAGTATTAAGTTGATTATTCGAAACATTATACAATGAATGATGAGTAATCAATATGGCTCAAAAGTTTTGGGGCCATATAGGATTAGTATTATTCTTGTGTTTCACTTTGCATGTTTTGACTTCCCGAATAACTAGGTTATTCAAACCATCCACAGTCGATCATACTTTGGAAGTAGGTATTGAGGCAAGACTGTCATGAATGGGTCAGTAGCTTGTCTAGGATAAGGTGGCTGTAGTGTTCATGAGTACTCCTGGAATAAGAGTATAGGATTCAACCCACGCTCATCTGAATCACTTCATGGATTTTATCACGATTGATCATGAGATGATAATATCTTATATTCTTGAAACGGAGACATGTGAGTTGTAGTTGCGAGTCGGTTGCACATTGACATATGTAAACACACCAGTAACTTGGATGTTATAAAACATATTGTTGTGTATAATTTGATGAGTAAGTACAAGAGAGCATTTGAGTCGAAGTTTTTCCGTTCCTTTTACCCCATGTGGATAAAAGTGATATCTATGGGCCCCTCGATGATTTAGTGATGACACTAGGCCTGGACTGATTTGATTTGTTCAATTAGTCGTACGTCATAAATCGGAAATCGGGAAACAACAGAAGGACAAAGAGTATGATTATAATCCATGTCTCAGTCCATATGATATCTAAAATGGAGGAATATATGATCCATTATCTAATGGACACGTCATTGACTAGGTAAGAGTTCGACAACAACTTTTAAGAGCTATGATTGCTAGTCAGGTTGTGGAGTCGTACTTGCAATAATAGTTATTAGACTTATCCAAGTGGGAGACTGTTGGATTAGTGTCTAAGTTCATAACTATAATTGGTATGTACTTGACCCGAAAGTAGTATGGTCAATTTGGGTTGCATGGCACCGGAACAATGAATAATTGAGAAGAGGTTATTTATGATTTATTAATATATTGTTCTAATATATTAATATGAAATCATATTATTTAATTAGTATTGATCAAAAATTAGTTTGGAATTAATTTTGTGATCAAAAGAGACTTATTAAATAAATAGGGATTGATTGTGTAAATCATTCATTCTTAAATAGTGGGTTTATGATCCATAATCCTTTATGTTGGGCTAAACCCATGTGGTGACCCATGGATACTCGGTGGAGTTTAAAACCCATGGAGCATGAGGAATGTGGAAAGTCATGCAGATTAGGGTTTGCATGGTGTAACCCTAGTTATGTCACACTATATAAAGGACCCCATAGCTACCCAAATCGACACCTAAGTGAAAGGAAAGAGGGCAAGCCGATTTTATGAAGTGCAAGTAACCTCCTCTCAAGTTCCTCCATTGTTGGTGGTGTTGTGTGATTCCATTTGAGGTACAACACTTGGGGCACTAAGTTCTTAAAGGTCCAAGGCTTCCAACTACAACAAAATGTATGCCATCTAACTAGTTTTTGTAGTAAGGATACTCCATTGTATGCTAGTTAGGATGATGCTTTGGATAAATAAATGTTGCATGTATATTAGAGAAAACATAGATCCAAAGCATCTAGGGTTTCATGTACACCATAGGAGTGTTAGAATGCTCAAAAGCCTTCAAAATGGACCCTAGGAGGTCAAATCTATGTTTTGGTTGCATTAAGACCATGTGAAATCGAATGAATAGTTTTAGACATAGAGGGACTCGGCGAGTCACTTATGTGACTCGGCGAGTCAGGTTGCATTTTCCCTAAAACGCCTTATGATAGCGAGTGTGTGTTGAGTTGGAAGAGGACTCAGCCAATTGGGTTCATTATGAACCTGAAGATCATCGTACTCGATGAGTTCAAGGATGAACTCGGCGAGTCCAAGGCAATATCCCAAACATATGAAGATGAAATCGACGAGTTCAAGGATGAACTCGGCGAGTCAGTTGTAGATGGTCCTGATTTTGTTTAAAGGAGAACTCGGCGAGCCCTTGTAAGGCTCAGCGAGTAGGATCGAGTCTTGGCGTTTTCATGATTCTGGAACTCGATGAGTTGTGGGGGCCAACTCGGCGAGTCGAGTCAACTGGATGTTGACTTTGACCTAGAGTTGACTTTGACCAAGTTGTTGACCTTGACTTTGACTTTGACCTGAGTTGAACATGAAATGGTAATTAAGGAAGACTGTTATGTATAGGAACTAAGAGGGGTTGATTCCAACAGGAAGGATAGTCAGACACGTTACGACATTGAGGTGAGTTACCTTCCAGTAGAAGTGGGTCTACGGCCACAATGTCGGCCCTCTAGTAGGAGTTCTTTGTTAGATGTTTGAATTCGTGATAATTATCTGGTTTGTTATGCTTATGAATTGGTATGCTATGATGATGTGTGATAATGATAGGAAGGGTAGGATAGACCATGGTACCGGTCGATAGG